GAATGTTATCAGATGATGGGATCCAAACAGTATATTGGTCAAATCTTGGTTTAGATGATGGTCATTTTCTATGGCTTGTAACACTGATAGTGAGTCAGTGAAAATCACAATGCTCTGTGCTTTTCCAGGATGAGTGTCAAAAACTGTACGGAGATGGTACAGTGCTGTTTCAATTGCTATCATTTCTGCATCGTAGTTGCTGCATTTATCTCCACAGGCTGCAGAGATCTCATTGGAACTTCAATCTGGGTACTGTATTAGTATTCCATATCCGGCTTTGGTTGTGCCTTTGAATGCTGCGCCGTCCGTATAGACGTGTATCCAGTCATCTGAATAGCTGTCGATTGTTTGATGTGATGCAAGCATCAGCGTCACTGGGTCTGACGATTTTGTGCTGTTGTCTTTGAGAGATGTTGTAATGATTGGCTTTTTTAAAGAAAGGTGGGGAGGGATGTTTTGGTTGACTCTTTGGGTTTCTTTTCTGTTTTGTGGTAGATGGTGACTCTCCATTAGTTCTGTGATGTGATGCATGATTGACTTTTGTTGAATTCGTTTCTTTGGTTTCCATGTTTCTACTAATTTCCTGTTTGGGTGGTTGGGGCACATTCTTTTTGTTCTTTCGTGTAGCTCCAAAACTGCTTTATCTCTGCGGATTCCCAGGGGTTCAACATTTGCAAGGATTTCGCACGCGGCGGTAGGTGTGGATCTCATTCCACCATTTATAAAACGAAGGGCATTGTTTTGGACCTTGTCAAGGGTGTTGCAAGTAGCTGTACTGCACATAGTGAGTAGGCTATTGTTGTATTCCAGGGAAGATCTGACATAACCAAGGTATAGAGCTCTAAGAGTTTGTTTGTCTGATCCCCATGAACTGCTAGCGAGTTTCTCATAACCTAACTGAGATTGTTTTAAATTGACGTCACGCTTTAGCTGACCATCAACAACTAACAGCAACAACAAGAACAACATCGATAACGATAGAAGCTAAATCCGACACATAATTCTTTGCTTTTGGAGACATTTCAAAATCTCTGAGAAGCAATGAAAACGCTACTTTTATCATGGTTAAGATCAGAAATGTTCAGGGCCATAAAGAGGCAGAAAAATAAAGAAAATTCAGGAACGCATTTGCACATATTCCTACGAAAACGAAAGCAAAACCCCAAAACACCCCTTTCCGTATGTTGTATTCAACTTTAGCCACTCCCTCGTTTTCGTTCCCATTCCGGGGCCTTGGTGGCGGACGCGAGAGGCTGGTTGCCCTATTTCTTCGAGGCGCGACGTGACAAATCGGTTGTCTCCAAACCAAGGCATGCCACACACCCCTGCGGTCATTTCTCATCCGGAGTGGGCAATGAAAGCCTAGATGAGTATTAATCCAAGAGGGTTAATGAGGACATGATTAATAGATCGTGATAGGCCAACCATAGTCTTGTGTGGTAGATACTGGTAGTGTATAATCAATTCTGGGAAAGCCAGTCTTTTCTATTTGTTTATCTTTACTCTTACATTTTATACCCAAATAATTAGCCTTGTCCGAGACATGATGTCTCTATGTACAGTCACGCGGAATAAAACTAACATCAACAAAAAATAGAGCTAAGCTGAACCGTGATAACTGGTAATTGTTTTTGGCTTGCTCCCAGTTCTCCGAAAGCGACCTTGAGAGTTTCCAACGCTCAAATCCAGCGTTAACTCATTTTTATAAGAGTCATAACGACCCTCGGTTTATCTTCATATCAGATTTTGTTTATTCTTATCTCAGGGACTGACATACTTTTTTGTTAAATGATGTGGGTCTAGTAATTACACTTGCAGCATTAATTTGATTTGATTTTTATTAGTCTACATAGTGTCACTATAATCTTCATTATTATATCGAATAAGTTTCTGTTTCCAGTGAGCAAAAGAATATGATATTACGTAAAGAGAGGGGGGGGGGGCGGCTTCCCTTGCAAAATAAAGCGCTCAGAGTATTAGGCTAGACCCAGTTCAGAGAACGTTTTCCTCCCTTGTCTCTTTAAACATTTCATCTCAAAAAGTGTTTCATCCTCATGGTCTTTGAACTATTTTGAGAGGGAAAAAAACGGTAGTAGGTAATACCGATCCTTTCGAAGTACTATGTTTTGTTTTCAGGATACCTGGCCACAGGGCGATAACACATCATATACTTCTCGTGAATAATGACTGATGAACAAATTCAGGAGTTTTGGTAGCATCCCTGGTTGAAGATTATAGCTTATAAGTGAATTCATAATCATCTTTGCCTTTCTCCCGCTTGTCCAGGACTTAGCCACCGACAGTCACTTTCCATTTTTCTCTGTCCTGGGCTAGGTTCTTGATATTATTCCATGCCTTTTCACTTTTTTTTACCTGTACATCATTCTCTCTGACTATTCTGTAGGTTCCACGTATATTCACTCAAATTACATCTTTTTTTTTCTCCACCCTTGCCATTATTAAATGTTAGAGGATGTAATTAAATAGAGGAAAGTTATGCGGTATCTCTCGATATAATCAGAGTCCAAGGGAACACTACTTTCTCTTAACATCTTCCACTATTCTTACTTCTGTATTTCTGTTATAACGAGATTACCAGTACGCTTCGTAAATATCTTAGAGTGTTGCAAGTGGCGTTAAACCTGTACAGTTCCGCACATTTTCTCAATACAGTTTACCACTCCATCACAAATACTGTTTTTTTCGAAGATGAGCAGACAGAGGATACTTCAATAGAATATCCACGCAATGATTTTAAGATTACCTGTTCTAATCGTTGTCTTCATATTATAGTCGACACATTTCTAGGTTCGAACGTTTTATGCTGCCCAAAATCTCCGGGAGTATTTTTCTGATCATTTTTGTGAGAGACCTACTCTGAGTGCCCTTTAGCATTATTTTAATTGTCTTAGACAAGTTTACCGAAAATGTTCCGTTTTCGAAGGTTTCTTAACTGGGATCATGATACAAATAGGG